GAGTTTCAGATTCTGCTTATTGATTTCTTTTTTTTCTTTTTCTTTTTTTTTTTTTTTTGAGACAGCATCTTGCTCTGTCACCCAGGCTGGAGTGCTGTGGCTCAATCTCGGCTCACTGCAACCTGCCCCTCCTGGGTTCGAGAGATTCTCCTACCTCAGCCTCCAGAGTAGTTAGGACTACAGGCACATGCCACCACATCAGGCTAATTTTTGTATTTTTAATAGAGATGGGGTTTCATCATGTTGGCCAAGCTGGTCTTGAACTCTTGATGTGCAGTGATCCAGCTGCCTCGGCCTCCCAAAGTCCTGGGATTACAGGCATGAGCCACCATACCCAGCCTAAGATTCAGCTTACCAATTTCTGCAAAAAAGCCCACCCATTTTTAATATGAGATAAAAAGCAGTTGACATTTATCACTTAGAGTCTTTTAATGTTAGGGCTGAAAGGGACTATAGAACTCATATAATTCAACCCACTTATTTTAGTATTGAATGAATGGCCCTGTGCAGGGAAAGGGATTTGGTTGAGATCCACATAACTGTTTAAAGGCAGAGTTGGGATTGGAACCAAGTCTTAGAGAATCTGTTGTTACTTCTACACTGCGTTATTGCTTCGGTTCCCTAGTTTACATTCACTTTGCTTAGGAATAATATGTTCAGTTTATCTTCTCTAAGAATGGCAGCTGTTATTTAGGACAATGGCATGCTGAGAAATAGATTGATTTCTGTTCTATATTGTGTCCAGTAAAGGTTGGGGGAGAAAGAGTAAATCTTATTCTTCTGTACTTTTCTTTGATTAATATAAGATTCTAGAGTTTTATCAGAAGATTATTGTCCTTTAAAATATTGATGAACTGATTATCACTTAAAGGATATAAATAGTGGGTAGTAATTCAGTGATTGAGAGGTTGGTTGCAGGTTGTTTGTTTTTTTTTTTGTGGTAACCACAGAATGAATGTAGAATGAATTTGCATTCAATAATGGGAACTAAGGTCAGGCGTGGTGGCTCATGCCTGTAATCCCTGCACTTTGGGAGGCCGAGGCAGGTGGATCACTTGAGATCAGGAGTTCAAGACCAGCCTGGCCAACATGGTGAAAACTCGTCCCTACTAAAAATACAAAAAATTAGTCAAGCGTGGTGGTGGGTGTCTGTAATCCCAGCTACTTGGGAGGCTGAGGCAGGAAAATCACTTGAACCTGGGAGGTGGAGGTTGCAGTGAGCCAAGATCACGCCACTGCACTCCAACCTGGGTGACAGAGCGCAACTCTGTCCTCACCTCCCCCCCACCCCCGCAAAAAAAAAAAAAAAAAGAGGAACTAGGGAAGGAACATTCAAATATTCCCACTTGGGCAGGTTCCAACCAAATGTTTATTTTATTTTTTTTACCTCCTCTTTTGTTTTTGTCTCACTTCAATCACTTTGTGTTTATGTGAAAATACCAAAAATTACCAAAATGTAAAAACCCAGGGCTTTGCTGGAAGTGAGAGTATCTTCTTGGCTTTTCCCTTTCTTTTCCTCCCCACCACTATACACACATGCACACACAGCTCTATTTTTTGGTGCTTTTCATTCATTGCTCACTCCCACTTCATTTTAGCTCTTGAAGTCAAAATGTGATTCCAAAGAGCAAAATAGAAGTTTGGAGAGTTTGAAATCTCTCCTCGTGGCTGGATGCCATGGCTCACACCTGTGATCCCAGCACTTTGGGAGGCCAAGGCAGGCATAGTGCTTGAACTCAGGAGTTCAAGACCAGCCTGGGCAACACGGTGAAACCCTGTCTCTACAAAAAGTAGAAAAATTAGCTGGGCGTGGTGGCTATAGTCCCAGCTACTTGGGAGGCTGAGGTGGGAGGATCACTTGAGTCTGGGGAGGTTGAGACTGCACTGAGTCCTGAATGAATGAATCCATCTCTCTGTCTCCATATAGTCGAAGAAAACCAAAAGTGTATGTGCTTTTTTGTGAAATTGTTAAGGATTCCATGAATCCCACTAAAATTTTTGATAGTGATAATTTCAAGTGGAGAATATATAAAGGATTCGTGAGACCTTCCTACCTCATTTTCTGAGGTTATGTTGACTTTAATATACAGTTTATCATAGATGTTTTCTTTTTTCCCTGACATAATTGTTATGTTAAAAACAGAAAAAAGGAACTACATATTATACATTCAAAACTATCAAATGTAACGCTGTGGGAAACTTTATTCCAAGGGTGCTGCCACTGCCCTTGTTTTAAATATTTTTGGAACTTCATTTCTCTTCAGGTCTATTTAACAAACTTATTAGGAATGTTGTAA